AAAAAATAAATATATATATATATATTTAGAAGTTTAATCTGTTATTTGCAATTTTGTATGTATTATTTATTTTATGGGATTTAGAAAATTTCTTGAAGTAATAAGATACTTGCAAATTTTATATTAAAAAAAAACAACAAATAATTCAAAATTACATTCTTGGAATGATCAAGTTTACTGAAAATTTCCTTGATACTTAAATGCTGATTATAGGCATCAATTACTCCAATTACATCAATTTTTTATTCAATGAGTTTAAACTTACATCCCATTACATCTGAATACAATAGCTATAGGTAAGAAAGATCTGTGTTAAATAATCTATATGATTCTTTTCCCACCTTACCTTTTTGAGACCTGACTTTGCTTTACAACTCTATATGCAAATGGATACTTCTGTTATGATACAAAGGCTTACTAAACCAAGAGTATTTTTTCTACTTTTCTGCAAAAATGTTTGCAGATGATTTTCTAAGAAATGTGGAATAATTTATATTACTTAAAAATTAGTTTTAAACACTTTACTTTCTGTAATACTTTATATGAATGTACAACTACGCAATCTTCTTTGCATTTTTCCCTTGTTTATATGGGGTCAGGATTCCCATCTTTAATCAGTTTTCTCCATTTCTCTCTATACAGAGTGTCCTCTCTCCTCCATACCTTCTCTCCCAAATCCTCTGCTGCCATCTTTCTCCATCTCAGCTTTGCTCTTTCCTGCTTCTTTCTCCCTATCACTTCAACTTCCCAATCCTCTTTCCAACATAGTTCTCACTTCTCTTCAAATGTTCAACCATCTTAATCTACTTTCCTGCATCTTATTTATAGGACCAACTTTGACTGTTCATCTTACATAATCATTACTAATTCTGCCTTCTTTGTCACACCACAGCCATCTCAGCATTCTCATTTCCGCTGTCTCCATATTCTTTTCTCTGGCTCTTGTAATTGCCTGTGTCTTAGAACTGTACATCATTGCAAATCTTACCACAATTTTGTATTATCTTCCTTTAATTTGCAGCTTATTTTCTCATCACACAGCAACCCCACTCATCTTTCTCCAGTTCAGCCATCCACTCTGAACTCTATGCTGAATTTCTGCACTCATTCCTCCATCATTTGCTACATGATCCAAGATGCTTAAATTTACATGTTGTTATTAACTTTTCACTCTGGAGTTTTATATAATTCTTATCCCCTTCACCAGATGTCATACATACTGTTTTTGCTATGCTGATCTTTGTGCCTCTCTCTTCCAGCATTTTTCTCCATTCTTCCAGCTTCTTCTCTACCTTATCTTGTGATGTTTTTCACAGCACAATGTCACCCACAAACAGCATACTCCAAGATGCCTTGCTCTTCACATCTTCCACTAATACATCCACCACCAATATGAACAAAAATGAGCTAAGGACTGATCCCTGGTGCAGTCCCAACTCTCTCAGTGAATCTCTGTGTCATACCTACAGTACTTTCTACTTGAATCATTGCTCCCTTATACATTTCTTTTACAAGTCCTACTGTAAGACTATGTATAAAACTAAATTATAAATAATTCAATAAACTACAAAGTTTTTAAATTACATTTAGGAAGCTTTAGCATCAAAAAGATTGAGTAGAATTGTGGTAAACAATTATATTCTAGTTTAGTATTTTTCATTCATTTTATTCCCATGTTTATTCTCCACTACACAGGGATAGTGCCATACCTTACTAACTCACTGTTGAAAGGACATCATCCAGTGATGAATAAATAGAAAATTTGTGTGTTTTTGTCTAATTTAAATAATGTTTTTAAAAAGAGAAAATTTAGTTAAATACAATTAAAGTATAGTTTCCAAAAAATGTTTATTTGTTTATTTTGATTTACATTATATACTTGTTCAATACATTCTTGGAACTACAGTGAATACATAAGTAATAACACACATAGAAGACTGTTTTGTGAAATTAAATATGTATGAGAAGTTTAATTTTAATAACAAAAATGTATCTATGTAAATAAAACATAAATTAACAGATGCATTTGGAAACTTACTTTATTATACAGTGTGTCCCCCTTGCTATTGTACCCAGCATTTCTTTAAAATTTTTATGCTATTTGGGCAAGCAAAAATCCCAATGTGATACATGAAGAACCCCTTCATTCCAAGAAGATTGGTGTTTGGTGTGAGATGTCCTGGCAGCCCATAATTAATCCCATGTTCTTCGATACACTCATCATAACAGCTGCATATATAGAAATCTTTAACATCTTTGTAAATCAATTGGACGTTGAAGAACTCTCCATTGGATATTTCCATAAGGATGAAGCAGCATGCCACATGTGCCAGCATGGCCAAATGTCAGTTTTTGCAACTATGTCATTTTGAAGAGACTTTGGCCACCATGCATTCATATCTGATGCTGCCTGATTACTTTTTATGGTGATATCTGATAGGTGAATTTATGCATACTAACCATAGACACCTTGAAAGCAAATAAATATCACTAAAACAGTTCAGGCAGTGGCATTATGGCAAGAACATTATGAAATATGGTGGACCAGTTTCAATGTTGTCTGGATTCAAATAATGGCCACTTCCAGTACATTATGACATCACCATGTTTGACAAAATGAGGCAAGTCCACTTTAAATTTCATTGAAATATCTTCATTAGTGGGAAAATTTAAGAAAAGCATGGTTTGGTAGGTAGTGGGACATCCTATATAATAGACTTTCAGCTTTAATGAACACTCCTTTGCCTGAATTACAGTAAATTTTTACTATATTATACTAAATATTCCAAGTTATCTTCTGGTAAAGATATTGGAAGAGATATTGGTATTGGTAGCCCTCTATCCCCCATCCATGAAGAAGGTTCCCATTTTTACCTGAAGGGCGTGCTGTTGAAGATATAAGGGCTGGAAATTTTGCCCTCTAANTTTTACAAGTCCTACTGTAAGACTATGTATAAAACTAAATTATAAATAATTCAATAAACTACAAAGTTTTTAAATTACATTTAGGAAGCTTTAGCATCAAAAAGATTGAGTAGAATTGTGGTAAACAATTATATTCTAGTTTAGTATTTTTCATTCATTGAACATTTTGAAAAATGTTTCATGTGTAAATTTCATTTTGTACAAAGTTTAGACAATTTATATCTTACAATTTTTGAAAAAAAACCACACACCTTTCTTAATGTGTATTTTGACATTCATACTTATTAGATTTATAAAACAGAAGTGAAGTTGTAAGTTTATCACTTACATAATTCTACAATAAAATTGCACATTTACATAAATAATTCATTATGACACTATTTTCTAGACTATGTATTACTTTTAAGTCATATATTTTAAATTTCCCTTTAAATTATAAAATAATGGAATTAAACATTTATAAATTTTGTATACAAGCATAATCATTTAAAACTAAACTATATTATTTATACAATAGATAAAACTAATTCAAAGGTCTATTCAGCTTACAATAGATTATTTTAACGAGTTAAAAGTATTAATGATAAAGTACTATATTTTAAGTCATTTGTAAAAATTTATTAAGTTGATCTCACTTCTATAAAATAAAAATTATGTTGCAAAATATAATTATATAATTACGTTTACAATAAAACCTTTATTTTGTCCATTAAATTTCTGGTCCTTATGTAATATGTGAAAATTAACACCATGTTAATTTTAAAATGATTTTTACATTTATGATAGAATCCCATAAACTTGACTTAATGTTGACTGACAAGGTGACAATTTACTAAAAATGATCACTTTTACAGCATAGCAATGATGCTAAGTCTAAATAGAATCTTCATAAAGGCATTACATGTGCAAATTCATATACATATTAACTATGTATCAATAGTGACTACTTCTATTTGTAGTTAAATTTTAATTTAAGAAAATATTAGCTACTTTTGAGTTACTGACATTCATGTCATGGCATTTTGCAGTAGCACCTTGGAGGAAAGATTATACTCTAACACACTGAACTGATGCTATTATCAAGTGTTGTCAGTGAAGAACAATAACTTATTTAATCCTAATGTTAAGTTATAAAAATTGGATTATATGTATATTTATTTATTTGTTATTTTTTTGAACGACACAAGTTTTATGGAATGCCCAGTTATCAAAAGTCAAGTTTTGATAACTGGACTCTACTGTAATTAAATTAACTGGTTTCTTTTTTTAAATCCAAGAGTCACTGCTCTAAATTTCACAATACAATGGGAGTGTTTCAATGTATCCACTCAGCAGTGACCAATGTATATATTCGTCAAGGGTGATCATGTGGCACTGGTGAACAACGGACATATCTGCAAAAGAATTTTGCAGATATTGCCAAAAACTACCGTGAAAAAAAAATTCACATAAAAAAGAAATTAATAATAAAAAAAGACTTTTCTTTACTAGACATAACTGTTCACAAAATCTTTTTCCAAAACAGTAATGAAAAAAAAAAACACGAGGGAAAATACTTAAACTACAATCAATAAACTACAAAGTTTTTAAATTACATTTAGGAAGCTTTAGCATCAAAAAGATTGAGTAGAATTGTGGTAAACAATTATATTCTAGTTTAGTATTTTTCATTCATTTTATTCCCATGTTTATTCTCCACTACACAGGGATAGTGCCATACCTTACTAACTCACTGTTGAAAGGACATCATCCAGTGATGAATAAATAGAAAATTTGTGTGTTTTTGTCTAATTTAAATAATGTTTTTAAAAAGAGAAAATTTAGTTAAATACAATTAAAGTATAGTTTCCAAAAAATGTTTATTTGTTTATTTTGATTTACATTATATACTTGTTCAATACATTCTTGGAACTACAGTGAATACATAAGTAATAACACACATAGAAGACTGTTTTGTGAAATTAAATATGTATGAGAAGTTTAATTTTAATAACAAAAATGTATCTATGTAAATAAAACATAAATTAACAGATGCATTTGGAAACTTACTTTATTATACAGTGTGTCCCCCTTGCTATTGTACCCAGCATTTCTTTAAAATTTTTATGCTATTTGGGCAAGCAAAAATCCCAATGTGATACATGAAGAACCCCTTCATTCCAAGAAGATTGGTGTTTGGTGTGAGATGTCCTGGCAGCCCATAATTAATCCCATGTTCTTCGATACACTCATCATAACAGCTGCATATATAGAAATCTTTAACATCTTTGTAAATCAATTGGACGTTGAAGAACTCTCCATTGGATATTTCCATAAGGATGAAGCAGCATGCCACATGTGCCAGCATGGCCAAATGTCAGTTTTTGCAACTATGTCATTTTGAAGAGACTTTGGCCACCATGCATTCATATCTGATGCTGCCTGATTACTTTTTATGGTGATATCTGATAGGTGAATTTATGCATACTAACCATAGACACCTTGAAAGCAAATAAATATCACTAAAACAGTTCAGGCAGTGGCATTATGGCAAGAACATTATGAAATATGGTGGACCAGTTTCAATGTTGTCTGGATTCAAATAATGGCCACTTCCAGTACATTATGACATCACCATGTTTGACAAAATGAGGCAAGTCCACTTTAAATTTCATTGAAATATCTTCATTAGTGGGAAAATTTAAGAAAAGCATGGTTTGGTAGGTAGTGGGACATCCTATATAATAGACTTTCAGCTTTAATGAACACTCCTTTGCCTGAATTACAGTAAATTTTTACTATATTATACTAAATATTCCAAGTTATCTTCTGGTAAAGATATTGGAAGAGATATTGGTATTGGTAGCCCTCTATCCCCCATCCATGAAGAAGGTTCCCATTTTTACCTGAAGGGCGTGCTGTTGAAGATATAAGGGCTGGAAATTTTGCCCTCTAAAAATTTCTAGAACAGTCCAGAACATTCGAGAGTATTCCACAACATTCCAGAACGTTTGGGAACATCCCGCAACATCCCAGATCATTGTGGAACATATCAGAACACTCTCTAATATTGTGGAATGTTCTGGAGCATTGTGGACCATTTGAAGCCATTTTTTGTGTGGGTGGGACTATCCATTGGTGGGTGTATATAAAGCAAGATCCATTGTGGGTTTGATCATGAGTTTCTTATCAGTGACGAAGGGAAGAACCGAAAAAGAAGTGAAAATTCCATTATTAGAAACGTTTAGAATGTTTGAAATTTTCGACAAACACTTCCAGTTATCCCCAATTCAACACCAGCAGACGAGATCAATGCATGCTTAAAAAAAATCACATCTCTGGCCACACATACAAATACTGCGACTAACAAAAAATATGAGAGTTGAACTCTCAAAAGATGAAACAGCAGCACATTTTGCTCAAAAACTTTTACAAATAGGTGAAGGCACATATCCCACTGACCAGACGACCGGCCTCAGTGAACTCAACAGTGATTTTTGCAACATGGCCACTACTGAAAAACAAACTCATCGACCAAATTTATCCAAACATTGTTCACAACTATACCAAACCGGAGTGGCTATTTCAAAGGGCAATTTTGGCAACTAAAAATAATATTGTCGATGATATCAATTTTAATATTCAAAAGAAAATTCCTGGTGAGGAGAGAATATACAAATCGATCGACACGATGGTAAACGTTGAAGAAAGTGTCAACTTTCCTACAGAATTTCTAAACTGTTTGCAAGTATCAGGAATGCCATTTACACTGCCTTCGACTAAAAATTGGATCTCCGATCATACTACTCAGAAATCTGAACTTATCAAAACTATGTAATGGAACAAGGATGATCATCAAACAGCCGAACTTATGACTGGAAAGGACAAAGGGGACACAGTATTTATCCCCAGAACACCACTGATCTCTACTGAACTGCCATTCCAATTTAAAAGACTGCAATTTCCAATCAAATTAGCCTATAGTTTTACAATTAACAAAGCGCAAGGACACACTTTAAAACATTGCGGCATCAACCTCAAAGACTCCTACTTCTCTCACGGTCAACTATACGTAGCTTGCTCGAGTAGGAAATTTGAAAAATTTGTACATATATACCCCAGATAACAAAATGAAAAATTTTGTTTATAAATAAGTATTGTAAATAGTTAGAATATGTTTTCAATAAATTTTTATTGAAAATTTTCTTATATTTTAAAGTTTATCCTTTTATTCCAACTACCAAACAATCTCATTTCAACTCCCTGAGCGAAGCCGGGTACCCCAGCTAGTATTATATAAATCATAGATATAAAGTTAAAAATCAAATAACAAATAATTCATATGTTAAATTCCCTTATATAAATAATTTATTTGAAAAATATAAACCAGTTTGAGAAATTTTCTATGTGTATAGTGGCAGAACAAAAAAATAAGATGATGAATGTAATTAATGTTATAAATTATGAAGACCAAAATACATCAAAAAACCAACTTGAAGTCACAGGTGTTTACAAGCTATCATGTACTTGTCCAAGATCAAAACTTTACATAGAAGAAACAAGGAGGAAGTTGGAAACACAATTAAAAGAACATGAAGCTGCTATTAGGTTAAAAAGTTAAGAATCACCGTGGTGTCTATATTGTATCTCTATGTAATACGTCTCTGTAATCCAACAAATGGTAGACGGACTCACAGCAAATTTGCTGCGAGTCCATCTACCATTTCTTGGATTACAGAGACGTATTACGTAGAGATCTAATATACAGCAATCCAGTTATATACTCTATATTGTAATAAATTTAATTGCAAAATTGATAGGAATAATCTTAAAATATTATATAAAGTAAAAAATTGTTTCAAAAGAAGAATAATAGAACATTTTTGTATTGTAGCATATGCAAATGTGATAAATCTGAATACCAGGATGAATGTAGAAGCATGCTGGAGGAGGGAATCACACAGCATAAAAGAAACAAAAATTGTTAAAGTTCATTGTGTCCACTGATGAGGCTTTATTTTGTAAGCAAAATGCATTTGGATTTTATGAACATGAAGTTACTGGTAATTAAAGTTTAGTATTTCTTCGTTATTTGTTTGTCTGCTAAAATGAACACTCAAAATCAGATAAGAAAGAGTAGTTTTACTTGGTTTTAATCTAAGAATTATTTTATTAATTTTTAGAATTTACAAAAACATTTTATATATAATTACACAAAACTTGATAAATTTTATTATAATTACTTACCATTGACACCTTGATCTTTACCATGTTCATCAATGAAAGTGTAGTTTTCTAGACTTCGTAAATCATATATATGTTCTCTAGCACTTGTTACTACACGTTCTGAACCATTTCGGATAAGATAGCCCAACAATAAGAGTGCCTAAAAAAACATGCAGAAAATTTGAATTTTATTGTTACTTAAATTTTTGTGTCTTAGTGAGAAAAACACTGTCCTATTAGACTCTTGTATTAGTATCATTATTTCACTACCTAGTGCTTTGAATCTGCACTGGTAAATAGCATTTATTTCAGGACGTAAGCTATCATCATTGGAAATGTTAGTGTGCTGTTTGCATGTGCTGAAACAAAAGAACGTTTGGTTGTGACATGGATTTGTTCAACCACATACTACATTTTGTTACACAAATTCAAAATGGCTGTAAAGAGTAAATGACCTGGCACATTGTCAAAGAGGTTATTCTGTTGTAATGCTGACTTGTGACAACAATGCCAAGATTTGATGTGATGCATCCTCTAAGAGGTCTTGACCATCTCCTCTAAAACTCAACCTGTTGCTCTGTGACTACATCTTCAGGCCACTGAAAAAGCTCTCAAGGGATGCCAGTTTGCTAATGGTGCCAAGCTTGGAAGCCTGGTTCCACAGTCAACCATGGAAGTCTTTTTGCTCAGGCTATTCAAAATCTAGTGACATGCTAGGATATTTGATTGAACCAAGGCAACTGTAGTAGATATGTAGCCCATGCATCACTTACTTCCTGTATGTTCATATATTGAAACCAATAAACCATTACAGAAAAATAAACCAACTCTCACTTTCATTTGGGCAACCCTTATATATTGCATAAATAAAGATATTAAAGAATTAAACACATGAAAAATGAAATATTCTTAATTTTTACTGGAATTATTTGAATTACAAATTTCATATCATCAACTTAAAATAAATTAGACAGAATTAAATAACCTAATAAATATGGTATAACAATTTGCAGGGCTTAATAAGCCTTGCAAATTGTTATACCCTATTTATTAGGTTATCTAATTCTGTCTAATTTATAGTCGTGAGCAAAATGCGTTATTTATTATTTTAATAAGCCTTGCAAATTGTTATACCCTATTTATTAGGTTATCTAATTCTGTCTAATTTATAGTCGTGAGCATAGTATTTTATTTATTATTAAAATAACTTTCCAGTTAAAATACAACAATAAAATAAACATTTTTCTGAGTTGTAAGTGTAAACTTCAGCATCCTATTGGATGGCCTGATAATTAAACCCTATCAGGTCTTTATCATAATAAAAATTTGAAAATCTTAATTTAAGAATCAAGAATTTTATAAACTTACCTCAAATAGGTTAAATTCTTTATACTTGCCAAAGTATCAATGTCACCTAATTCTTGCAGGTGATTATTGGATAGTATCAAACTCTCTAAACTAGGAAGTGATTCTTGCAAATTATCACCAATTCGACTAATAAAAACAATCATCATTTAGAAGTTTTTTTTTATTAAATTTACATTATGATTCATATAAAACAATTTAAACTGATAATTTACTTTACCATATAATTTACAGGAATAATAGCATACAATAATGTCACTAATATATGAAAATAAGTTCTCCTAATTGCATTAAGTTTTGCCTTGGCAAATTATTCACACTAATAGAAAACTGAGCAAGACTTTTTGAAGATAGGAAAATTTTTATTGGGGTCTTTTTTTTTTATCTTACCTTCATCACTATTTTTTTTATAAATCCAACTTTTAATTTTAAATTAAAATTAAAATCATTACAATATAAAAAAATCTAGTTTATCAATTCTCCTTGTCCGAACAGTAGAATCTGTATTTAATTTTTTTTTTTGAGTTGCTAGTTATGATAAATTTGATTGTACAGTAGTAGAGCATCAATTATCCAATTAATAAACTCCAAATACCTTTAAAATGCAGTCTATTTTAAAAAACTTATTTAACGTTTTCAGTCAAATTAACAAACCTTCTTCAGGATCGAACTAACAGAATTTAAATTTGCCAAACGGAAATTCCAAAACATATACTCAGAGCGTACATTTTGGAATATTTTTTTTTTTTAATAAATTGGAAAATTTTTAAAATAATAATAATCATGGCTAGTGTATCATTAAAAATTATTTCTTCATTTTGCACAAACAAAATAAATATATTGAAAAATATAAAAACAAAAAAAATTATATTTCAGAAGTTAATCTAGTATCAAAATATTTCAATTCAGCATGACACACAGTCCTCAGAAAAACACCACAAAAACAAGCAAAACTCACCACTCACAATGGGGAAAAAAAAAGCCTCGTTCAAATACTGGCGCGTCCTTAAGTACCCTCTTGTGATTGTGTCATGCTGCCAGCTAAAACACGCACACCGACAAAAATAATATTCGAGTAGTCCAAGACATAGCCAAATATTGCAGTGCCACAGTACTAGTGGAAATTTGAATTTGCCGACTGGAATGCTTTCGGTTAACCGATGTTTTGGTTGATCGGTATTTGGATAATCAATGTTCTACTGTATTCAGTGAAAAATCCTTCTGAACTACTACTTGATTCCAAGAATTTATAAAACTTAGTTTAAAGAAAATTAATATTTGATTCACTTTTGTGAAGCATGCTATCAAATTGGCTTGACCAACCTTAAATTCTGGTTTGATTATCTTGCTAAATCATCATGAGAGTTAAACTGTTTCAGGTAACATTATAAACTTGCTCAATTATAGCACAATTAGAAAAGCATTACAATTATGCTTTTCTAATTGTGTGGTAATAAATAAAACCCAACACAATATATAGTTATTAAGTAAAAACTTTGTAATTTCTAGAATTAGTACTCTCTGGAATTGGTTTGAGTTAATTTACTTTTTGTGTAATCAACATGCTACTATACTAAACTTCTAATTTATTGAATAGATAATAAAAACATTATGAATCATGCTTCTACTTCACTATAAAAATATTCAATTAACAAATGATTTTTGATAAATTTGGTGTTAACGTCCTATCCTGAAGATTAAAAGTATGTCAATTTGTTTTGTACTCTGCAAGACCATTACATAGTATCGTCCCCTTCACTTCAAAATTTTGATGCCCAGGGCCAAGGATAACGCCAAATTCATACTGCATTGAATAGACTAATGACTAGTATAATGTTATTTGTTTAATCATTGTACGATATAACAAATAAAATATCTAATTATTCTTAATATAATGTTTTACTATATCACCCAGAAAATTGTTTTTCGCCCCCAAATATAAATTGTTACTAATCGCCCCTCAACATAGAAAAACACCCACATGGGGTGATATCGGCCCCACTGAGAAACACTGTTCTAGACCCTTACTGCAGCTCCTGTATACTTACTCAATTTTATTTTATAAACTTACAAGGGAACTGTTGGAGTGTCTTCTAATAAATTTTAATAAAATTTAGTTAATAACTAAGTTAAAAGTATACAAACTCTATTTTAAATTTGTAGCATTCACTAAAAGTGTTGATCAGAGTTATTAGCAATCAAATGTTGCACTACTTTATAGTAGTTTAACACAGTTATGCAAATTTTTAGAAGTGAAACGGTCGCGGAGGAAGACGGCGATATTACATTTAGAATAAATTCTGGAATTTTCAAAAATGGTTGAAGAATTAATAAAATTTTGTATACTTTTAA